ACAGCAGAAATTGGCCCCTTAAGACATAAATCATCAAAACAAAGGTAGCAATTTGAAGGTATTGACAGATGCATCTGCAAACATTTGCAATGCTTACCTGACTCAACAATCACAACCAGATTTGGGACATGTCCACCCAACTCAGCCACAATTCAATACAACAAAGCAGCTGTCTCTCTTCTTTTTGTGGCAGGACAAGCCCCAAAATTGTCCAGGAGCATTTTCGGCTTTCCCCAGGAAAGACAGCTCTTAAAAGACCCCTTGGCTCTGCAGTTTTCATCACCGTAGTGCTGATGATCATTTCTCCATTTTGCTGTCCTACTATCCAACTGACTGCCAACTGCTGCCTCTCACTTCCTTGTCAGTGGCCATCTCTCACTGTCTCTCATCATCTTGCCTCTCCACCAATCTCCGTTGCCACTGTCTCCACTGTCTTATTGCTGAATTAGTCACTGCCTCCTGATTGCTGTATTCATCCCTTTGTGGTTGCTACATGTTGCAGGACAGGCAAGCCCCAAAATTGGGGCTTAGCCCAGGAGGATTTTTTGCTTCACCCAGGAAAGAACTCAAGGGTGAGCCAGTGATGGTTAGACAGTGATCGTTTATTGAATGGTACTGCTCCTTGCAGGGCAGGGTTCACGGGCAGTGTGCTCAGAGTTGGTACTTGTGGGCTGCTGGCTAGCTGTATTTATATCCATTTTTAATTACATGCAAATTAAGGGTCAGATTATTCAGAAATTTCTAGAACGGGGGTGGTAATAACTGAGTTGTTACTATGGCATTTGTAAATTGTCATGGCGTTGGTGGGAGCGTCTTATGCCAATAAGCAATGAGGGCAACTAGGGATCACCTTTGTCACCATCTGCTGGTTTCTGCTGGTTTTTTAAACTTTACCCTATCTGGACCAGTTCCTGTCCAGAATAGGACAGCAGGGTGGTGACCAGAAAACAAGTCCTGCTGGTTTCTTACCTCACTTTCTCAGAGGGCTTTGCAGCTACAAAGCTGACATTGCTCAGCCATTGGCACAAGTGTGAGCTCCTCTGGGACAAGAATCACGTATTCTGCATTTTGTTCTCCCAGCCCTTAACCCAGTTGTCTGGGAAGGAGTAACCTCTCAGTATATGTGCAGAACCCCAGTAAGATTCTGGTATAACATAGAGAACCCCAGGCCAGGGATCAGAAGACCTGGGCTCAGCTCCAACCGAGCCTCCTACCAATGGTGTGACTTTGGGAGACTCACTTCCTCCTGTGAGTCATCAACATCCCTAGCTGTGAAATGAGAAGTTTCAACCATATACACTCTGGAGTCCCTTCTGGCTCTATATTCTCTGCTGGTAGCAAAACAGTAGGCCACTCTTTGTTTTTTGCTTTTATCTTTAGTTCCTTTTCCCCTGCCTCCTCCTTCATTTTCTTCATTTTTTCCTTTTCTTTTAGTCAGTCAACAAACATTTCCTACTACATTCCAGACCCTACGTCAGAAGCTGGGAACTCAATGGTAAGCAAGATAAATGCAGGAAAAAAAGTACTTAAGTGTTTGTTGATTTACTGAATACTATAACTGCATACTATTCAATTTGTATTTTGAACGTTTGCTTCAACATACAAGCTAATTGTGCAGTTTCTATTGCTCTTAATGACATGCCTGTGAGAAGTAAAGGAAAACCCAATTAAACACTTAAGAGAAGTCCTACAATTCTGACATAAGCAGCTACAGAAATTATGTAGACACTTCAGGTTTAAACAGGTTTGGCTGAAATTGCCAAGGTCACTGCAACAGTTACCCAGGTGAGGATGGACAAAGGACACAAAGATAGATGTGTACCCGCCCCCCCCCGCTACACCCTATTGCTAAACCCTTTGTTCTGCTCTCTAATCTTTGCACATACCAGAGATTTCGTAAGTTCTGTGAGTACCTGTTTTTCTGCACGTACCAGAGATTTTGTAAGTTCTGAGGCAGGGTCATAAGACGTGTTTAAGTAAGATAAACTCTTGCTGCCATAAACCAGTTGGGCAACCTGACGCAATATAATTAACTGCCTTTGTGTAAAACTGCTCTCCTGCCTCAAGGGTTGAACCGAAATATCAGAAATGGCAGGAACCAATCATAGTTAGCCAAATCGCCTTGTTCAAACGCTAGCCAATCATATATCTGCTTTGTATAATAATTCTATGCCCACTTTTCTTAGACTATATAACACTGCTCGGAGCTCAGTGGGGGAGCTCTTCCTGCGCGTCTCGTTTCGCGAGCGAGTGAGAGTTCCAGGTTCGAACCTGTAAAAAGATCCTTGCTGCTTAGCTTTGACTCTGGGACTTGGTGGTTCTTCTTCGGGAATAAACAGTCTGGGCATAACAAATGGGGGCTCGTCCGGGATTTCCCCAAGCCACCAGACCCCCAAGTCAATGGATCTTAATCTGTAGGTAAGCCGGCTTTGTCACTGTCTCTGTCTTTGTCTCTGTCTCCCTGAAATTTCGCGAAATCCGTTAATCTGTAATTGTATTGGGTCCGTTCTGTAAGTGGCACGTCTTGGCGGACGCGCTAAAAGACAGCCACTCGGGACTGGTGGGAGACGTCCCCAGTGCCCATCTGGCGGCCTCCACTCTTGGTTGCCCCGTCTGACTCAGGTCGGAAGTCCGACACGGCTCGCGAAGGCTCATCGTTTCTGTCTGTCCGTTATGTTAAGTGTTAAGTGTAAGTCCAAAACGAAACATAAACCTTTTTCTTCCCTTCCAGGACCGGACCTGTCGGATACTTCCCTCTGCTTCCACATTATTTTCGTCCCTCTTCTCTTTGTAGGAGCAGTCCAAAGATGGGGCAACAACCAGAGCACGCCGCTCTCCATCCTTGTTACCAATTTCAAGGATGTGAAGGCTCGGGGGCGTAACTAAGCGTAGAGGTAAAGAAGGGAAGCTAGTTACTTTTCTGCCGTTCGGAGTGCCTTTTCTTCGGCGTAGGTGGCCTCCCGAAGGAACTTTCTGTCTCTCTATTATTACTAAGGTAAAAACTAAGATTTTCCTGCCAGGCAGTCAGGACATCCTGATCAAAATTCCTTATATTCTAATGTGGGCAGGATCTGTTGAAACCCACCGCCCTGGCTAACTCCATTCATCCTGAGCCCTGCAGGTTCCTAGTAATGCGACCTACAAGACAAAGGACTCCTCTTGCTCCCTCGGCCCCTGTGGCTGCCAGACAGCCAGGCACCCTACGTTAGACCCCACACTTCCCCCACCATATTCGCACTCTATCCCGCAGGACCCAGTCCCCCAGGGTGGTGCTTCCGTAGAGGGAAACCGAGAAAGCGGAAGCACGCCGAGAGCGCAAAGTAACCCGGGGGGCCGGCCGGCCGAACGTGAGGCGCGTACAGCGAGCCAAGCTTCCCGACTCCCTGACTCCACCGTAGCCCTGCCTCTCAGAGAATAGGATCGCTCGATGGATACCGGGCTCTCCCGTCTCATGTATTGGCCTTTTTCCACTAGTGATTTATACAATTGGAAGTCCCAAAATGCTCGGTTCTCCGAGAATCCCAAAGATCTAACCTCGTTGTTAGACAGTGTCATGTTTACTCACCAGCCGAACCTGGGATGACTGTCAACAGCTCCTCCGAATCCTGTTCACAAGGCAGGAGCGGGAAAGAATCCAAGTTGAGGCCAGAAAGCTGGTTCCAGGAGATGACGGGCCAGCCAACTGCAAATCCTGACCTTCATTAACGCGGCTTTTCCTTTGACCCGGCCCAGATGGGACTACAACCACGGCAGAAGGTAGGGGACGACTGCTCATTTATCGCCAGACTCTAATGGCGGGTCTCCGGGCTGCAGCTCGCAAGCCCACCAATTTGGCTAAAGTATATTCTGTGTTACAAGGTGACAGAAAGCCCCACTTGTGATTTAGAGAGGATTAATGGAAGCCTTCAGACCAGTTTACCCCTATGGACCCGGAAGCACCGGAAAATCAGGCAGCGGTAGTAATGTCCTTTGTAAACCAGGCACACCAGATATTAAAGAAAACTCCAGAATTAGAAGGTTAGAGGGAAAGCAGATTTAGGACCTCCTCAGATGGCCCAGCGAGTTTATAATAATAGGGATACTCCAGAAGAAAAACAGTTCAAGGCAACCAAAGAAATGACCAAAGTCTTAGTAGCAGCTTTCCCCCAGGCAGGGAATGACCAAAGCAGAAAGCAGAAAAAGCAAGGCTCTAGGCAAGGATTAGAAAAGGATCAGTGTGCTTATTGCAAGGAACGTGGTCACTGGATTAAAGACTGCCCAAAGAAACGGAGACCAGCTAACCCTACCTCCGTACTCGTAACCCAGGACTCTGACTAGGGAGGACGGGGTTCGGACCCCCTCCCCGAACCCAGGGTAACTTTGCAAGTGGAGGGGTCCCCAGTTCGCTTCTTGGTCGATACTGGGGCGGAACGCTCAGTCCTAACCAAACCAATTGGAAAAATGTCTAAGAAACATCCTGGGTGCACGGGGCCACAGGCATCAAAAAATACCCCTGGACAACCCAGAGGACTGTGGACTTAGGAATGGGAAAAGTCTCCCATTCCTTCCTAGTCATCCCAGAGAGCCCCTGCCCTCTACTAGGGAGGGACTTGCTAACATTGACTTGTGACGGTGAAGTGGTAACCAAGCTTGAGGCAACAATTCAAAACTGGAGACACCAGCCTTTGTAACCAGAAGGCAACTGTTTTTCTGAAACTTCAGAAATATTCAAGCTGGGAAGGGTGAAATTTGTCTTTAAAAAGGAATATTCAAAAACTTTCTGATCATATTAAGACAGAATATAGGCAGAGTAACATTGTAGTGCTGTTGGTATACGTTTTTAAACCAAATTTATTTATCTTCCTTGCTTACTGACTCCTGCCCCAAAGAAGGATATTACATGGAAACAGTCTTTATACTAATCTATGTTATTAGTATAGATTAGGCTTTGCGTTCCTATTTTTTTTGGTCTGAGTAAGATATTAGGGCTCGTGCTTACAAAAGCAAATGAAAGGATCAAATAACATGATTAATACATTTTATTACAAAGCTTTTAGAAGATGAGGGGCAGAGCTAACAAATTACCTTAATCATTAAAAACCACAAAGTTGGAGAATTTTTTTAAAAAGAGTGGATACCAAAATAGCTTTTAGGAAGATGACAGCTTAATAGTCTCTTAAGTTGTTGAAGACAGCAAAAGAAGGCTTAAGATCTGGAGGATAAAAGTTATATTCAAAAACATGCTAAAGAATACATTAAAACAAACAAAGAACGAGGAAAAAATAAATTGTGCCTTAGAAGTTAAATCCTGTCATAAATGAACATAATTTCTGAAGGACTATGGCCCACATCAACACTCAAACAAAAAAAACCTCATTGCTAAAACAGCTTCAACATTCCTTTGGAGTTTGCTGTAAAGAATTTATCCTGCATGTAGGGTAGGCATGAAACACATCTTGAAGAGACTCAGAATATCTGCAAACATAAAACTGCTTCTCTAAACGGCATTTACTGGCCTTGAATCCAGTAGAGTAGGGTTCAGCTATGACATGAAATGTGTCATCCTGGGGACGGGGGAGCAATTTGAAGAAAAAGGGCACTTTGCTATAGTTAATTCATGTGGCTGTAATAGTCTACAAGTTTCTCCTCAATGCCAAATATCTATTAAGAATTTAAAAATGCAGATGAAACTTTCTATTTCCAAGAATTCATGTGATAAAGGGTAATCATCACAGAGTTTACATATGCTCAGTTTTCTTAAAGCCATAGATTTTATTCCAGAAAGGAGAAAGTACACGGCATCAATAAACCACACATGCCATGAATTTTAGAACACTAAATTATTTTTCTCTGGCTTATCAACCAGTTATATCCATGGGCTGCAAATTATACCCACAACAAAATTGATAACATTTTGCAACATGTCAAAGAAAGACCAACATTTTTGCCTGAGTATCCCACTAACCTTTATCTAGAGTTATTATTCTTGGACTTTCTACAGAAGTTTCTTTTCAAATAATTTATGAATTACAACAACTGGAAAGAATACTGTGAGGACCTGAATACTTCAATCAAACACTGAAGGCAACAATCTTTCTCTTTAAACCATCTCTCCTACCTGAATTTTTATATACTAAAATAACCCCACTCCTTCATTTCTGCACGAGTAGCCAGATAAGGTGGCATTCCTTGGCCATCACAAGTCCCAGGTCAAAACATCTCTGTTCTTCAATGTTCTAGCAAAGGCTTCTGGCCCTGCAGCTCATGCCTGTGTGATTCAATCTTGTTCTCAATGAGAGAGATCTCTAGCACAGGTAAGAGTAGCTGAAAGGCGTCCTGGATGTAGGAGGCACTGTTTGATGCCTGCCAGGATTGAAAAAACAAAAAAAGAGAAAACATTAGTTATTTAAAAGAGAAGATATACTGTAAGACAACAAGGGGAACAGATTAATTTTTGTAATCTAACTGAATTCATAGCCTGGCAAATAAGAGCAGTGACTTGGCCATTTTGGTAAACTCTATTATAGGGAAAAGGATCCAGCTCTTAAGATGATATGACAGCAAAACAGAATGTCAGCATTTTTGTCCAACTTGCCCATCAGAAATGGTAGCTGTTCTTTGGCAACCTGCTCAGACTTGGCATTCAAAGCTTATTTATTCCTTTATTAAGTGGGGTAGATTATGTCACAATATTGTGGTCAATTACTGAAAGAGGCTTTCAGAAGGCTATAAATCCTACACCTATAGAATTTCTAGCCCATTATGATAGCTCTTCTTCCATGAACTCAATGCAATCAGTGAGCACAATAACTGCTCACACACATAAACAAATAATATTGCTTTCAAAGATGACAGTATAGATATATTTCTACCTTGAACAACATTTTTCAGAAGTGTTAGAGAATCATTACCCTCAGTTTGCTGAGGGTAATTCATTTATACTGAAAAGCCCTCACCTTTCAAAAGAATATCAACAGAGACTTCATTACATTAAGACAAAATGTATAATTTCAAAGACAAGAGTGTTTCAAATCTGTATGCAAAAAAAAATCAACTAAAAATAATAGAGAGCCCATATCAAGTGAGATTACCTTTTTAAAATTTGTCAGTGGCAAGTACTCCTATTTAAAATTCAGTGTGACATTTAATACTCAATTTCCCACACACAAGAGACCTCAGATATCATCAAGTTAAATCTCTTATGTTGCGCATGAAAATAACGAAGTTTGTCAGAGTCACACAACAAATCAAGGAAGATCCAGAGCAACACTGGGCTCCTGGTTTACAAAGTCCTTTCTTCTGCCATTTACTAAATCACAAACTTATATTTTTAAAAGTTATTTAAGTGATCAAAATAGCTTCCCTGACTACTCAATTAAAACTGTGTAATTAAAGAATTAAAATCATTTCCTTGATGGTAATGTCAAAAGAATTTAAAACTAGAGAAGAGTTTGGTAGTTAAAACATTTTTTCAATTAACATCTAAAACTTAACTATCAAATATATATTTTCCCCCCAGACTTACATAAACATGTTTTTAAAAAATCATCAAAAAGTCTATGTTGTTTGCACAGTTAATTTCAAGGTAGACTTCTTAAAACATGGAATCCAGAAAACATCACATAAGGAGGTAATATAATCAGTCACAGGATCCTCTTTTCCACTGACTTAAACCACCTACTTTCTCAAATCTAATGGAATGATGAGGATAATGTAAACACTACCTTTCTGACAAAACAAAGCATGATTTCCTAGCAAGGAAATGACAAAATGTTTTGTTTTATAACAAACCACTGCATGAACTTTAGTCCTTTAGGAAGCAGCGCTTACCTGTTTGTAATTTTCAGCCCTTCATGTTTACCAGCTGGTATTCAGAAGGTGTTTCATTACTGTGAACCGTCTATTAAGCTATCAAGGATTAGTACTAAGTAATGATAATCTACTGCTTCTTCCATTGTACTTTACCCTGCAGCTTCAACTGTATGCTTTGTAATTAATAAGGAAGGAATACATATCAAATGTACACTATTTTGGTCATGTCTACATCAATATGGTTAAATTACCAATATGGTGAAAAAAATAAAAAAGCCAAAAACAAAAGGCTTCAGAAGAGTTAATTAGTACATAATACCTTTGGAGTCAGAGACTTAAACAATTACTACTAACCTCTAGAAATACTGCAGTGATTAATGGGTTAAGGACATCTGCCATTTCTTTGACCTGGAATAAAGAATACATTTTTAAGTGAGCAGAGTAGGTTAAATAACAGTAAGTGGAGTACGATTACACTTTAAAACACACACACACACACACACGTACATAAATATTAAATATAAGCATAGAAGTCTGGACTGAAAGCAAAATGTCATCTTCAGGAAGTGAAATTGTAAGTGTTTTAAACTTCCTTCTTATCTTTCTGTGCTATCCATATTGAGAGTGTATTGTTTTATACCTTTTTATTGACTTTAAAAAGTATCATTTTTAATGATACTTTAAAAATGATACTACAAAATCTTAGAACCATCTTAAAACAAAATATGTAGATATGGAACATGTGCTCAAAAAACTCAAGGGTCTTTAACACAGGCTGTTTAGAAAAGTCTTATAAATAAATAATGTAATTTAACACTTGTATGTGTCAGCATCTTATAGTTGATACGCTAGCTTAAAGTATCCTTATGGAACACAGAGAAAGATTTGGCCTTATAAGATTAACTTCAGGAAACCCAGATCCTCTTGTCAAGAAAATACTACAGGGAAAAGTGAAGCTGTACCAAAAGATAATCCTTTACAGGAATAATCTAAACTCAAATTTTAAAAAATTAACTTAGGCCATGGTCTTAATTAAAACAAATGTAATGTTCATGACTAGAGCTTTTAAATAAACAAATACATAAATAAATAAAATTTAAGAGCCCACAGTAATTTTGCTGCTACACTGACACTGATATACTTACTATAAAGTGATTTTCATTTGCTTGTTTAAAATGCCCTTGATTTTATCCTAACTCATTATTACTGGTTTCTCAATCATCGTCCATAACTCACACATCTTCATAAATTTTTACAATTCCAATTTTGAAAATCCCCAAAGACTTTAGCTTTAACCACATCTTTCCCACTGACTGGCAACTGCATACCGTGAGCACTGCCATAGTCTAAGTACAGAGTTGCTCTTTAAAACCAGAGTCAAAATCTGAAGTTTGAATTTTATCAAGGTCTATATGTCCATTACAGGTCTCAGAAGATAGCATAAAAAACACTGAAAACTTCATAAACAGAAATGAACAAAAATTAATTAGAATTAGATATAGACAAGCTGATCCTAAAATTCAGATGGAAATGCACAAGACCCCAAGTAGTCAAAAAATCTTGAAAATAAAAATAAAGTTGGAGGACTTACACTTCTTGATTCCAAACCTACTACAAAACTACAATAATCAAGACAATATGATACTGGCATTAGGATAAACATACAGATTAATGGACTAAAAATCAGAGTCCAGAAATAAACCCATATATCTATGCCTAACTGATTTTCAACAAAGGAGCCAAGACAATTTAATGGAGGAAAGAACAGTCTTTTCAACACATAGTACTGGAACAAATGGATATCCATATGCAAAAGCATGAATTAGGGCCCCCTACCTCACACTATACACAAAAATTAACTGAAAATGGATCACAGACATAAATGTAAGGGCTACAACAAAACTTTTAGAAGATTAGAGGAGTAAAACTTCACTGCAAAGGACACTATCAAAAAAGTGAAATGACAACTCATGGACTTGGAGAAATACATTCTCATCAAAAATCTGATAAGAAATGTGTATTGGGAAAACATTAAAAAAAAAAAAAACTCCTACAAGTAATAATAAAAACACAAACAACCCAAGTTTTAAAACAAGCAAAGTGCTGAAATAGATATTTCTCCAAAGAAGTCAAACAAACAGCCAATCAGCACATTAAAAGATGTTCAACACTGGCCGGGCACGGTGGCTCATGCCTGTAAACCCAGCACTTTGGGAGGCCAAGGCGGGTGGATCACCTGAGGTCGGGAGTTCGAGACCAGCTTGGCCAACATGGTGAAACCCCATCTACCAAAAATACAAAAGTTGGCTGGGCATGGTGACTTGTGCCTGTAATCCCAGCCACTCGGGAGTCAGAGTTAGGAAAATCACTTGGACCAGGAGGTGGAGGTTGCAGTGAGCTGAGATCATGCCATTGCACTTCAGCCTGGGCGACAAGAGCAAAATTCCGCCTCAAAAAAAAAAAAAAAAAAAAAAAAAAGATTTTCAACATCTTTAGCCATTAGAGAAATGTAAATCAAAACCACAATGAGATATGAGATATCATTTCATACCCACTAGGATGGCTAAAATAAAAACAAACAACAATAAGTATTAGCAAGGATATGGAGAAACTGGAACCCTTATACATTGCTAGTGAGAATGTAAAATTGTGCAGCTACTTTGGAAAACAGTTTGGTAATTCCTTAACGACCATATCGCCCATATGACCCAGCAATTCCACTCCTAGCTATCTACCCTAGAGAAATGAAAACATATTGACATAAAAACATACATGCATGTTCACAGCAACATTATTCATTATAGCCAAAAAGCAGAAATAATCCAAATGTCTATCAACTGATGAACAAATTAAATGTGATATATATCCATAAGATAGATTATTATTTGGTAATAAAAAGGAAGCATTAATACATGCTACAATGTGAATAAGCCTCAAAAACACTATGCTAAGTGAGTGAAACCAAACACAAAATACCACATATTGTTTAATCCCATTTATGTGAAAGATGCAAAGCAACCAAATCTATAGAAAGAGAAAGCAGATTCATGGTGCTTAGGGCTGGGAAAATATGGAGTGAAAGGGAATGGGGATTGTACGAGTTTTGGGGAAGGCTGATGAAAGTGTTTTAAAATTAGACTATGGAAATGGCTGCACAACTCTGTAAATATACTAAAAACTTAAAACTATTGAATTGTACACTTAAAGTGAGCAAATTTTATGATATTTAAACTGCTAAAGAAACCAAACAAACATTATTGCAATAAGAGGCATGAATTCTTACCCCAGCAGTTGTTAGGCAGGTGGTGAACTCTTTAGACAAAGAGGACAACTCTTTACACAACACAATTGTCATCCTACGAAAGAAAGGAAAAGTCAGAAACGTTCTTTTCTCTTTTTTTATTTTCTTAATAAGCTATATTTAACAACTGTCAGAACAGAACAAATCACTCCTGGTACTAAATGTGAAAGAAGAAAGCTTTTCAAGGGAGTAGTAGCCCCCCTTATCAGTGGTTTCACTTTCTGCAGTTTCAGTTACTCATGGTCAACAATGATCTGAAAATAATTTCAAAAAAATTCCAGAAATAAATAATTCATAAGTTTTTAATTGCACATCGTTTTGAGTAGTGTGATGAAATCTCTCATTGTCTGCTCCATCCCACCCAGGACATGAATCATCCCTTTGTCCAGCATATCCACAGAACCCATTCATGAGTCAGCTATTAATAGTAGCCATCTCGGTTATCAGACTGAGCGCTGTGTTATCACAGTGCCTATGTTCAAGTAACCTTTATTTTACTTAATAATGGCCCCTGCTATGGTTTTGATATGTCCCCTCCAAAACTCATGTTGAAATTTTATTCCCGACATGGCAGTATTAGGAGGTGGGACCGAGTGGGAGCTGTTTGGATAATGGGGCACTGCCCTCATGAACAGATTAATGAAATTATCATAGTCGTGAGTTCTCACTCTGGTGGGAATAAATTAGGTCCCAGAGAGCATGTAGTTATAAAGCAAGTCCAGTCTCTCATGCAGGTCTCTTTGCACATACCCACTCATCTTCCTGCTTTTTTACCATGTTGTGGAGCGGTATACGGCCCTCACCAGAAGTCAAGCAGATGCCAGTGCTATGCTCTTGGACTTTCCAGCCACCAGAATCATGAGCCAAATAAGGCTCTTTTCTTTGTAAATTATCTACCCTCAGATATTCTGTTACAGTAACACTAAATGGGCTAAGGCAGCCCCAAAGCCCAAGAGTTGTGATGCTGGCAATTCAGACATGCCAAAGAGAAGCCATAAAGTGCTTCCTTGAAGTGAAAAGGTGAGAGGTCCTCACTTCGTAAGAAAAAAGAAAATTATATGCTGAGGCAGCTAATCTACAATAAGAATGAATCTTCTACCCATAAAACTGTGAGAAGGAGAAAGAAATCATGCTACTTTAGCTGTTGCACCACTAACTGCAAAAGTTCTAGTCACAGTGGGTGATATGTACTGAGTAAGATGAAAAAAGCAAACTACTCATCTGACAGGGGACTAATATCCAGAATATACAAAGAACTCAACAGTAAAAGTAAAAAAAACTCATTAAAAAATAGGCAAAGGACATGAACAGACATTTCTCAAAAGAAGACATACAAATGACCAACGGATACATGAAAAAATGCTCAATATCACTGATGTATCAATAATCAAGAAAATGCAAATCAAGACCACAGTGAGCTATCATATCACCCCAGTTAGAATGGCTATCATTATTAAAAAGACAAAAAAAATGGCTGGGCATGGTGGCTCATGCCTATAATCCCAGCACTTTGGGAGGTCAAGGCAGGTGGACCACTTGAGGTCAGGAGTTTGAGACAAGCCTGGCCAACATGGTGAAACTCCATCTCTACTAAAATACAAAAATTAGCTGGGCGTGGTGGAGCGCACTTGTAATCCCAGCTTCTCAGGAGGCTAAGGCAGGAGAATCACTTGAACATGGGAGGCAGAGGTTGCAGTGAACCAAGATTGTGCCACTGCACTCCAGCCTGAGTGACACAAGCAAGACTCCATCTCAAAAAAAAAAAAGACAAAAAAATAATAGATGCTGGCAACAATTCCAAGAAAAGAGACTTCCTATATGTTGTTAGAACGTAAATTAGTACAACCACTATGAAAAACAGTATGAAGATTTCTCAAAAAATAAAATGGAACTACCAAACTACTAGGTATTTAGCCAAAGGAAAATAAATAAATATATATATCAAAGGGATACCTGCACCTGCATGTTTATTGCAGCACTATTCACAAAAGCAAAGATATGGAATTAACCTAAGTTAGTTGACAAATGGATAAAGAAAATGTGGTGCGTGTGTGTGTATATATATACATATACACACACACATAATGGAATACTATTCAGCTATTAAAGAAAATGTCATTTGCAGCAACACAGATAGAACCACAGGTCATGAGGTTAAGTGAAATAAGCCAAGCACAGAAAGACAAACACCTCATGTTCTCACTCATATGTGGGAGCTAGAAAAACATGATCTTACGGAAATAGAGAATAGAACAACTGTGATACCAGAAATGGGGAAAGGTGGGTGGGTGAGTGGGTGGAGATGAAGACAAGTTAGTTAATGAGTACAAACATACAGTTAGATAGAAAAAATAAATTCTAATGTTTGATAGCAGAATAGGGTGACTTATATTTAGCAATAATATTTTGTATATTTCAAAGTAATGTAGACACTTGAAATGATACCAACATATAGACATGATAAACACTCAAGGTGATGAATATCCCAAATACTCTGACTTGATCATTATACATTCTATGCATGTAACACTCACATGTACCCCATATATAAAAATATATAAATTATATATAAATATATAAATTATATCTAGCGTATCATAAACATGATTACTAGGGTAAATAGTATAGAAAGTGATAGGTTATGACTAAATATAGTATCATGTATCGGTAAGGTATATAATACATAAAGTACGATATAAGGTATCGGCCACAAGCTAGTATAGTGGTATGATAAATATGTAGAATATAGATACGATAAGGTATATGAATAGAGTATTATTTATAGTTAAATATATGAATATACTAAATGATTAATTAATAATATGACATTTACTGATAATCAATGATTATGACATTTTGGGTGGAAGGTATATACATACGTGGGTGGATCGGGATATATTTGTGAAGGTAGTTATACATCGTACTGTTATTGTAGTAGTATTTGGTGGAAGTAATGGTATTCAGCAGTAGCTATAAGGTCATACATTAGGTCCATATAAGAAATATAACTTATAGGT